TTTAGATTTTGTTTTGATACCTGAGAACCAAGAAAGTCCTTTTTCCATATTATTTAGTAATGCATTAAAGTAGCCATTGAAACCTTCCAACTATGGTTTCTCCATACTGCTTCTTTCGATGCTTTCCTAGGTTCTGGGCTTGACTATCGTCTTTGGCAAAATGTGTGTCTGTCCTTTGAAATAAAAATTAAAAGAATATGAGTATCTGTAAGGCCTTGTCAGAAAACAGGAACATGAGGAGGGTGCATGACCAAGGATGTCAACAGGATATTTCATCAGATCTGCAAGATCCACAGGATCGTGCGCTGTTACAGGTGTTCTGGGTAGTTAACCCACTGACACAAAGCCTGTTTGCTGCCAAGCACTTGCTATGGAGGAGGTGAGTTTTCAGAGTGACAGCAGCACTTGGACACGTTGCTGGGGTCCCACCTAGTAGTGCCGTTGCCAGCATATCACTTCTGCACCACTGTCCTGTCTGACTGGTCGATTCTAGTTAAACTAGTATTACACTCAAAGTCTTGTTATGAGCAAGAAGGAGACACACCTTGTATGTAAAGTCAGGAATTTATTGTTAGTCACAAATTCTAACAGTCTAATACCTGAATTATTATTATTAGTCTAGATCGAATTACAAGAGAGGAGAGACAAGAATAGAGGAGGGAAAAGAATACTACTATACTACTACAGGAAAAAAAACCAATAAGGTAAAACTGATACACGCATACTTCCTACTATCTACCCCTTTTTTTGATGTTATGCTCACACTTGCACTGATTCTCTGGGTCTAACGGTCAGTGGCTGCCATAGGGGTAGTGAGGAAGTATTGCCAGCTGTCAGCATCCCAGTCCTTCACTAGGATGAGCCTGATGTTGATGGTGCTGGTTTCTTTTTCCTTATTTTTTGCTTACTTAGGGACATATTTATATTTGCTATCAACTTCACATCTTGTTTTTCTTCATTGGCCTTCAAATCCTACAATTACACCTGAATTTCCTAGTCATTAGAAAAATTACTTTCACAGCTAAACAAATGAAGGGACAGCTCAGGGCAGGTGAAGGAAAGTTCAGGCAAAGCAATCCTGACAAGCCTCAGTCCTGAGGCCTTACAAAGTCAGTATAAAGCCTGTGGCCTGTTACTAGCAGTGACAATACCCTATTTACTGGGCTATGAGGCTACATTAGCCCTAGAGGTGTTTTCCTCTCGCTACAGCCACTGCAAATAAATGCTCTACTGCGTGCAGTGGTCACCTGAGCTGAATATTTCAGCCTAATTGTGGATTTTGATCCCCCATTGGGATCCAGCATCAGACAGAAAGGCAAAACAGATGTAAGGGTCTGGTTGATATGGCCATTTAATGACCATTTCAACTGGTGCCAGGGTCCAGGCGGTTGGCATAGTCAAAAAACAGTACACAGCAGTAGTTTGGATTGCAGGCTGACAAACCACAAGCCTTGGGAGAAGTGAGACAAGAACTACAGATTTCCTTAAAACTGCAATCATCA